AGGTTTCTTTTAAAAATGTGATTTAACATGGCTTGGATGTAGGAAGGGTCTGATAGCCTCTAAAAGCCCATTTGTGTTTCTTGAACAACTTGCAAAATTTCTTTTACATGCCACTCCAAGGTAATCGTGTGAGCAATTCCTCTAGAGAAGGGGAAAAGGTATTTCCTGAAAGGGAGGGAATGGGTACTCTTCTTGGTGTGGTATGATCAGAGATGCTGAACAGCTGAGATATGTTGGTGGCCTGCCAGCCTTAGGGCTTGTTGCAAAAAAGCTGTTGTTTTGCTGGAACAACTGTGTCTCAGGAATGTCTTGCTTCCTCAGCTGACTCACAATTCACCTTACTGTGACCTGTCTTCCCGAGGCTGAGCGGATGTCCGGGTAATTTAATACTGGCATACTTACTTGGGACACTTAAAGCTGATCTTCAAAAAGAAAAGGCTTCTCACCAAAGTGTGTGTGTCCTAGATGTAACATGGCTTATGCTGCTGTGCAAACTCAGACTATTTTCTGCGTGGATGAAGGAGTGATTAGGCAGTGTTGAACACTTAGGGTTTATATTTCTACCTTCACTTGAGCAAAATCACTTAGTGAAAAAACAATAACCCCTGGAAACTTACTAATGGGTAACTTGAGGATGAATACATGGCAGTATCATTATTAGATTCTGCATATATCTAACTACATTTCTTGAAAAACATGTCAGATTAAAAAGGGGAAGAGTCCTTTAAGCATAATGAAAATAGCAAATTGTTATACTGTTTTGGTAAGATGTAAATTTTAAGAGGGTTTTTCCAATTTTCAGTAATTCTGCAGAGTGCACTCAAAACTGTGGCTAAGCTTGTGCCAGATTGTTTCCTAACCTTTCCATTCCGATAAAGAACACATTTTCTTGTGATGGCAGGCAAGCTTAAGCTGCCTATATGAAAGAGGTTTTACACTTCAACCTTTAGAAAACTTGCATCGTAGCTTGCTTTTCTGTACTTTTGCTTGCTTTTTTGTAGCGAAAACTTCCTATGCGCTCACTTTCAAGCCCTAACTGTTTCTTTTTCTCTGCATATTTACAGTGAGCAGCAAAACATTGTAAGTGAAGCCTCTGGGCACCTCTGACCGTAATGCAGTGCTACTGGCTGTAGCTCTTCAAGTAACAGAGAAGTAAAATATTTTACTAATAAGGAGGTTATTTGCGTGCTGGTTTTTGTACAGGGGTGTAGGCTGCCCTTTATGTACTCATAAGCTTCTTCTTGCAGTCAGGAGGCCTAGATTCTAAGTAATATCTCAGCCCAAAGCAATTGCCTAGACACTGCGCTTGAAGTAACATACCAGCTGTAGCCAGACGTTCTGCATTGACAACTGGTGAATTGGTATCTCTCTGGGTCTGCTTCAGGGAGCGATGCCGGTGCCAAGAGTGGTTCTTGATGCTCATGTGCCAAGTTGCAGCTGCTGTTTACAATCTGGAATGCACCTGTGAAATACACCTATGAAATGAACTGGGAAGGACAGCTGTGTCTTACACCAAGTGATACCAGTAGAATAGTGAAATATTTAGTATTGGGGAGATACTGGAAAATAAATACTGGGGTGATGTATTTTAGTATTATTGATTGTGGTACATATATTCAAAATACTGGAGACTAGACTGGGAGCTTGTACTGGGCATTGTGCAAAGATAGTGGAGGTTATTTACTCTCAAGGAATGCATTTTCTCACTGCTTTTCTTCTTCTACGGTTGGTTTTTTGGAGTGATTTATTTTTGTTTTGTTGTTGTTTTTATCTGTTCAGGTTTTTTTGTTGTTGTTTGTTGGTTGTTTTTTTTTCTTACCAGTAGAGCTGTGTTTGCAGAGAAGCTTATGTTGTTTAAGTAAATGACAGTAAAGTAAATGTGATGCAACTGTATACCTTCCATGCTAGTGGGCTGCACAGATTAGTCTAAATGTCTGCCAGTTTAGTTCTGTTGGCAGCTCTCATTCCAAAAACTGTTGTTTAGAACTGGCAGATATCAGTGTTATGACAAACAGTACTATCTCCTCAGTTTGCAGAAGAACTCTTCTAACTGTAAATGTTCTGATACTGAGTTGTGTAAAAAGTGGAGGGAAGATTAAAGGATGGGTCATGAAAAAGACTGACGCAAAAATGGGAAAAAGTGGTATGAGAGATAGGCGAACACTAGAGGGAGGCTCTGAAGTTGACAGCTGCTTGATACAGTCTATTTTAATTTCAAAAAAATCTTTGAAGAATGTTATTCAAAGTCTTTGAGTAAACTGGGTCATAATTTGAAAACATACAGTGCTAGCATGGATTGTTTAAAAGCCAGGAAGCAGAGGATGATAATTGCCCTCTGCAATGAGGGAGATGCTGGAATTCTACAGGGTGCTGTAGTGAGATGAATGCCTTCAGCATGGTCAGAAATGATCTTGGAAAGCGGGTGATCAGTGAAAGGATGGACAAAAGTTGCTGATGACAAGTAGTTGTTCAGAATGGTGAAAATAAGGGCCCTCTGAGGAATTCAGGAACAGAGAGACTGCTGGTGAAAATTCCTCTGCCATAGGGTTGCGCAGTATAGAAAAATCTGACTTTGAGCTGAATATTGCAACTCAGAAGCAGGATTTTAGTGCTTTGATACTTGACTGATATCATCAGCTTACCTGCATGGTTTTGAGGAAAATGAGGACTAGTTTATGAAATAAAAATCGGTTATGACATTGTCAAATACCTGCATTTCTGAGCCAGTGTGTTTTTTTCTGAACGTGATTGAAAGCTAGAAGGATTTCTGGGGGAATTCTGAACCATGTCATTACTTTTTTCCAAGGCATCGGCTAATGACCGGTGTTGGAGATGGGATGAATGCTTCTTAAAGTTTTTAGGCATCATTTGATCATAGCCAATCTTGTCCTCATTTAGAAAAAAAAAATGTTTAAATGAACTGTAGAAGTCAGTCTCTTTCAGCAAACCTGTCTCTGAGTGTTCAGCTGCTGTTTCATTTAGCCCACTGCTTTGGAGAGACCAGGGTTTGTGCTGCAACTGGTCACACCCTTGTTGAAAGAACTGCCTTTAGTTGTATGGAAATGGAAGCGGTATTTGTTGAGAAGAATGGAGAGTGGAAATGCTGGTCTCAGCAAGGAGCAGTAGTTGGTGAACAGCATCACTGTCACATTTGCATAAAAATATGTGAAAAGCAGGGGGACTGTGCATCTTGTGCTCTTTTGTACAGCGGTACTACCAATCTCCTTGAAAAGGTCCTGAGTTAAGAACAAGTTAAGAGGAAGTATGTAAGGAAAAAGCTGTATAAAATGGATAAAGTCTTCTATAAATAAAAAATAATGCTAATTGTTATTGTTGCTCAAAAAAACCAGGGACCCATTAATGAGAGTTGTAATTGTAGTATGCTCTCAGTTTCTATAGGTTTTCAGTCCATGCTAGCTTTGAGATCAATATACAAAGGAGACTCTGGAATTGTTTTATAGACAGCTTGCATACATGTGCAAACCTGAAATCATAAGACAGGCAAATGAGATCTGAATAAAATGAGTCAAGAATACTACTGTAACTCCTCTGTTTCTTATTGCATTGTTAGATGTCCTTTGGTTTACAGCAGTGCTGCTATTCTATTTGATAGCAAGTACTGTATTATTTTTTCTGAAATAGATGGACAGGTAGTTGGTTCTCTAGTTTTTCTGCATATTAGGGAATTGAATCTTTTTTTATTACATGCAGTCTTCTAAATACTTTAATGGCACTGTAAAGTTGTGGTTCTAAATGAGGACATCGAACACTTGCTTTCCATGTAGTTGTTGGGACATAGTTATGACACCAGAAAAAATGTTTTGATTCTGTCTACATAGAATGTAGGTGTTTAATTCTGAAGTCTAGATTCTAACATGTTTTTTCATATTGACTGTTAATATCCTGATCTTACTGGGATTGTGGTTTTGTGTTACACTTTGGACAGATCAAATGCAATTTTCACTTTTTCTGGAACATATCCCTCCAACACTTTGCTAAAATTGTCATTGGAATGCATTATAAGGAGTTGAAATTCCTGAACGAAACTTGAATTTATTTAGCTTACAGGACAGCAGCTATAATGAGGACTCTAAAGCAATGGTTTCCATGGTTAGTGGACATGTAATTATTTCTGGTAGTTGGAGCCTCCTGAACTATTGGACCTAAGATGGCAGTAACAGGACAAGTGTTTTCTTGGGCGTAGTATTATCTTCTACTTCACCTGAAACATCTTTTTGGATACTAGATTCCTAAGTACTGTTTTGCTGGCAGAAAATATTATGCACAATACATATGAGAACATAGATGCTTCATGGTATGCAAGATTTGCAATACTCTTGACGTCAGAAGTTACTGTGTCTGCAATGTGTTTATGATGATACTGAGATATTTAAGAAATTTCTGATCATTCAGGACATGGAAATAAAGTCATCTTAAATAGCTTGGCACCTGGCATAATTTTTCTGGGGGTAAAATGTTGGAATTTTGTGTGTATTCTGAAGAACTACTCGGGTTGGTTTTGTAAAGTTGGGATTAAAAGTAAAGTCACAAAAAGGCATCTTTAGTTTTAAACTGATTTAGCTGTAAGTATACTCTGCAATTACATGCTGGAAATGAGTAGACAGTTACCAGAAGGGTTCTAGCACCCTTTTTACTTCAGTTTTTCTCAAGTTATATTTCAGTTTTATGCTTATGACTAGTTTTCAGTCAATGATACAAGTACAGTGCTATGATATAAAACTCAACATGGCATTTTTATGGTACTTTAATTTATGTGAGTATTCTAGTTTTAAAGCAGAACAAAGTTTTTCAGTGCTTCTATATGTTTTAGACTGAGAGCTCAAAAAGTGCGTGGCAGATGTGCCACTCTTCAGAGTATAATATGTATTTATTTCATAAAGCTGACATGGTTTGTGTTTTTTTTAAGTATTAGAGCACTTTAGAGTTTGTAACACCAATCTAGTGCTGCTGTTCTTATGCATTCTTTCTTTTTCCTCTAGTGTTTGAAATCTAGCAGAATGGCAGACATAGACAAGTAAGTAAAATCTGTAGGTTACTGAGGCTCTGACCGTGTCCTGTGCTGTACTTGAGATGGCTGGGATCTCCAGACACTTGATGGGCAGAGTCTAGATACTGACCTTTGCACTGTGGCAAGATGTGAGGTTTATAGGATTTGGGAGAAAAATGAGTTGCTCACAACAACTGGGTTTGGGATCTTAATTGGAAGTAAATCTAAAAATGGCACAAGCCAACTTACTATGTTAGTTGGAATTTTGGAGGGGAAAAACAGACAGTATTGCCCATTACTACTGTTTCACTGTATGTAGGTTTTTTCTATACTTTGAATTGCTCACATTTTGTGCAATTGGAGTACAGTTAAGATGAACCTACCCACAGTTGTCAAGGCCTGCACATCTTAATAAAGAGATCTGTAGAGCAGGAGGCTTTGACTGGTTGATAAGCACAGGAGATGAAGGAATTCTTCTGCAAAAAGGAAACTTTGTAATTCTGGAAAGTTACTAGTTCTTTAAACTGTTCCAAGATTGTCAGATATGAAATTTCTATGAAGGTAAATTTGGCTTCGTTTGGCTGTTAAGACTGCTAGTTTGTCATAGATGAAAGATGCAACAGTTTGCTCTAGTTTGATCTCTTTAGGCTCATTACAGTATTTTATAAAGTTAACTTCTTGATCCTGTTATTGAATATTTTTAATAGCAAAGAACAGTCTGAACTTGATCAGCAGGATATGGAAGATGTTGAAGAAGTGGAAGAAGAAGAAACTGGTGAAGATGCCAACAGCAAAGGTAATGTTGAAACCAAGGGTTTCTAAACAGCTGCATATGTGCTTTCTAGTTAATGTATTAAAAGAAATTTACTGCTAAAAACAACAATAAATGGTAAAACAATTTTGAGTGTACAACTGTTTAAATTCTGAAGCAAGGACTTTTTTTTTTTCCCAAGTTATGTGATTTTTATTATTTGTCTGCAGTTACTCACTTTAGTCATGCTTAATACCAGTTCAGGCAGTGCTGGCCACCTCTATAATTGGAAAAGACAGGATTGTTGTGGATATGTGACTGAATTCTTTCAAAACTCACAACAGTTAAAAACTTCACCTGTGAAGCTTTGGGTATAAAAAATTCATGTGTACGTGTGTGTGTGTGTATCTCTTATTTTTTGATTAGTTGCTTAGTAATTTGCTGCTGAGTTGTTTGACTGTGAACAGAACAAAAATCATGCTTAGTGTTTACCACTCTTAAAATCAATAAATCCTTCTTCTTTCCCCCCCTTAGCAAAAAACATGAGCATGTATCAGAATACATGTTTTGCCAGTGCTGAACAGTCTTATTCATACTTTGTATTTAATGTAATGTAACTTAATGTAATTTTCTTTTTTAATTTAGCTCGGCAGTTGACTGTGCAGATGATGCAAAATCCTCAGATTCTTGCAGCTCTTCAGGAAAGACTTGATGGTCTGGTAGGAACATCTGCAGGATATGTAGAAAGGTACGGCATTTGGTCAGTATGAGCAGATTGGTATAAATTTTGCTTTCTGAACATTGTTAGGAAGAAATTCTTTACAGAAAGGGTAATCAGGCATTGGAATGGGCTGCCCAGGGAAGTGGTGGATTCTCCATCCCTGGAGGTTTTTAAGATGGGACTGGATGTGGCACTTAGTGCCATGGTGTAGTAACCAGGGTGGTAGTGGATCAAGGGTTGGACTTGATGATCTCAGAGGTCCCTTCCAACCCAGCTGATTGTATGATTCTATGATTCTGTTGTCTGTGGCATTAGTAGTCAGAAACCACTGTGCTGCTCAGATAGCAGAAAAACTAATATAGTTTGTCTGTAGTGCATCTCAGAATTGAAGAGTTTTTATTTCAGGTTTTATGAAGAAAAGAATGCTAATATTCACAGCGGCTGACCTTGTCCCCTGCACTTACAGTATGGCACACTTCTTAAGATACTTTCCTGCTACTTGAAATCTCTTTTGTAGCTTTGCCTTAAACATGAAACATCAGTTATTTAAACTACGGACAAATACTTGGAGGCTTAGTGTCTATAATATAGTCATTTTATGCTTAGAGTGTAACCAGTAGCTGATAAAATTAGGAACATTATTAGCAGTACTTCATGTGGTATTCTCACTTGCAATAAACTCTTGCTAAAGTTTTCTTTGCGTGGTCTGCATTAACAGATAGAATTTTCTGACTCTCGGGTAATTTCTGATTGTGTATGAATATTTCACCACATCCCCAGGAAGTGTAAAGTGTACGGCTCTCTTGCTGTGGTAGGGTCCTACATTGCTATTGGTTTGAACTGGGGCAGCTACTGGGTAACAGGCAGTGGTGCTGCTGCTGCTGTTCCTACTCCTACCACTTTCCTGTTACAGATTATAGCATAGAACAAAAGCCTAAACAAAAATAAGCCAAAACAAAGATATTGTACACTATAGGCTTTTCACATCCAATATTTTTCTTCTGTTTTTCAACAGATATTAATTAACCTCTACTAATCTTTCAGGTCCTTGATCTAAGAAGTGAACAAAAGTGGTAACATTGTTTTGTATTCTTCTAGTCAGCTGCTGTATTGTTTCTTCACCAAGTCCAAGTACAGCAGTGCATTCACTACCACAAAAGCGTTGCAACTTCACCATTTTACCAAATGCTTACCTAACTTGCAATATGAAAGTATCTGGAAGACACATGTAACTGGAGTCTTCCACTTTCTCAGCATATGCATGCTGACTTAACCATGCTTTTCTGGTGCCTCTTTCTTACGTGTCTCTCCAAGTGTTATTTAGAGCTTATTTATCTGCAGAGTCTAGACACTGAGATAGCATAGAAGTCAGCAGGAATGTGGGATCCTAAAAGCCTGTTATATGGGCTGTTAAGGAACTAGATGCGTAAACTGGTGGGAAGCTAAACAGGTTCCAGGAAAACAGCTGTCTGCTCATGCTAACTGCTTGGTAGCTGTCCAATAACTTACCCCTTTACCTGTACCTGGCCACAATACTTTCAATGAAACTTACTTTCACAGAGTTGAATTTCCCTCAGCTGTTCACAGGAAGTTGTATGCCTGTGTGATCATAACTTTTGCTAGTGGCTTGTATTCAGAGCAACAGGTTCTAGTTGCTGTTGTATTTGTGCAGTCCAGCTCAGATTTCTTGGTCTGCTTCTCCATTTTGGATTTATTTTGTAAGAGCTGTCTCTTTCATGAAACTACCTTTATTTTTTAAAAAGTACCAAGTTTATAAAAGTATGAATATATAAATTGTGAAATTTGAACTTCTTGACATGGAATGTAATGAAATGCAGCTTGACACATGCAAAAGATTCTAGATTCTCTAATAAAGAGGTTGAAATCTTTACTCTTGACAAACCAGATTTGGACATGTGCTGCATGTATGGCACCACATCTTAGAAATTTCATAGTGCTTTACAAGCAATTGCTAGGACCAGTACTCTAAGTCTAGATATATGCATGTGGCATTAAGTGGGTAATTGTTGTATGACTTAGATGTGTGGTCATGTTAATATTCTTCCTTAATACTTTTTTCTTGTTTTAACTCAAGTTGTTCCTTAAATTGCTGTTACTTCTGATATTGTACTTGATAAAGTTACAGCAAATTATTAACTTGACTAACTTCTGGAAAAATACCAGAATAACAAGAATGCTATCAACCCTGTACGAGCTTACACGCCTAAACTTATGTGGCTTTCGTAGTTTGTGTAACAGATGTACTTTTGCCAAAATTAGAAGGTTAAGGGCAACCTTGATTTAATGATGGAATGCATGTTATCTTAGTAACCAGAAATAGTATATTCATAAAGATGTCAGGGAGAAGGATTCTGCATTTAAACAGGGATGTTGGATCGTGTGCTTGTCCTGCCTAATAGAAATAAGATAGCTTTAATAATTAATATGAACCCTCAGTGTTTAATATATTTTTGGGTAATTCCTCTAACCTGAAGCTGGTCCTAACAATTCAAAGCAGTTGCTTACTACTTTGTTGTAAATAACACGGCACAACTACTTAAATAAAATAAATATGGGAAACCAACGTAACAATCTTGTGTAGTCATATGCTGGGGTTTGGTCCACCAGTGGAGACTGTCAGCAATCTACCCTGTAAGTCTCACCAGTAGCCTCGGTGTAGCTAACTTTATATGCTAACAGTAACTTAGTGTTGGCGTAGTTTACTAAAGCGAAACTAATACTGGAATTGTAGCTGACCAGTATTTATAATAAGGAATGCATTAATTGCTTTCCTTTTACACATTTGTAATATGGTGGCTCATTTAGCAAAACAGTTCTGGCTGACTTTGGGAGTATTTTAGAAGACCGTTCTACCAGTTGCTTTGCTTAGTGAAACAAAAAGGTGAATTTTGAAGATCAAATTCCTTAGCAAAGAATTACTCAGCTGTCTTGAACTTTCTTTCATAAAACCAAGGGAGTTAATGATAAAACCTTTCTTAATAATGCTCAACCCTATGAGTTTACTGTGCTGCTCATTGATAATGTAGAACTTGTTTTTAGGATGAAGATTTATTGCTCAAGTTTGTCGTATGATTGACCCAGGTGTGGAATACTCTGATTCGAACTGAGGTTAAGCCTCAGTTTAAGAGCTTGTGCTAACGGTTTCAATCTGTGGTGCAGTAGGTCATAGTTTTGGTTTGTACAGCTTTCTAAAGCTTAAAGTAGAATGCAAAACGTGTTGTGATACAAGCTGGTTAACTTGCAAGGGGACTGGTTAAGGAAGAATCAATATGTGCTTAGAAG